CATTTTTCTCTATTTTTTGCAATTTTGTTTTATTTATTTTATTTATTTTTTTGTAAAAAACAAAGAAAAAAAATCATCCAAAGCATACTATTTATTTGACTTTATATTTAATCAAAAAATAAAAAATTACTAAATAACCTATTTATAAACAATCTTTAGTTTAAGAGCAAATTACCACACCGTTCTTGAGGTTTAACTAAATTGCAGATTCTCTCTCAGGTTTCAAAACTTACATCCCGCCCCATTGCAATTAACGCGTGACGGATATAGTAAATTGACCAAAATGCCCCTAACTGGGTTATGTAGAAGAATGATGATATTTGGCTGATACATCATGTCAAGTCAGTCATAGTTGCACAGTTTAAAAATTAATTTGATTAAGAAATAAAAAAAATAAAAATAAATTCATTTTATATATTTTTTTTTGGAGAGGTTAGTGTGACGACCATTTCCTTAATCAATTAAATTAATTATCGTAATTGTATACCTGTGTTAATTGTGTGATTATGTGCTAATTGTGAATTATGTGTCATGTGTATATATATATATATATTATATGGTATTGTCATTATGAACAGATAAGTAGGCTATGGATTAAATCTATCTGATTCGTTAATTTAACAAGTTAGAATTAAATAATATGATAGAAAATTAAAGCCTAATTCACATTTTTATTGACTAGTATAATTGAGATTATATTGTGTAGGGTTAATTTAATCACTTCGCAATGATTTATTAGCCTTAGTTGAATTAATAAAATATTAATAGAAACTGAAAATCCTATCATCTAGTCATCCATTTAGAGAATAGTTGTATGCTTTTAGGTCCATCTTCAAACAATAGAGGATATAGTGGACTTTCTGGGTCTTAGTCCATCTCCACGTAGAGAGAGGGGAGCACTTTTGGAAGGAAGAGTTCAATAAGAGAAATAAGTTAGAAAGCAGAGGAAGTGAAAGGGACTTGGAATCTTCACATTACCAATTAAGGTAAGAATTTTTTTACCAAATTTCATGAAATTGAAATGCTTTCCTTATAATTCTTAGACTTTGAGAATAATATGAGATTAGTAGTGTAAATTGATGTTAGGAATTCATTTGATACAACGAGAGGGAATTATGGAGAATTAACTTGAATTAGTAACATGCATGGCATGATTAGACACTCTTGTTTAGATGCATATTTCTTGCATAATCTTCATAAGTCTAAAAGTTTTGAAAGATTTTCCTCATCATTTTAGACTTTTGAAGCTTTGAAATACTGATTTGTGTCTATGTTTTATTTGAGTCTTGAGCTTCAATGGCAATTTGGTCATTGTTTACAAGTTTTAATTTGTGTTCAATGATCAAGGTTCAAAGTCAAGCATGTTTCTGAAATTTTTTAGAGTGAATTTGTGAAAATGAGCTTGATTTCTGAAAAGAACAT